TGGCTGAAATCAAAGACTTGCAATAGCAGAAAAGGTGTGGAAAGGTCAGCTGAGGACAGAGTGGGGCTGAGTTCTCCTCTTTCTTCCACCTCACTGGTCCAGCTCAGTGTCTCATCTTCTTACTGGATCTTTTCTCATTACATCACTCAGTTGACAGACAGCCAGGCTCAGGTCGACAGACGTAAAAAAAAAAGCAGCAGGATAAAAACTAAATTCTCATATCCAACTCTTGCTGTGTTACTTCTGAGGAATGACCCAGAATTTCGCACTGTAAGTACTTCTTGTTGGATTGATTAATTATTTGTAGCAGCACCAGCAGTCAGGATTTGCCATATGGCCGGCTTCACTAGCAGCAGCCAAAGAAATGCAGTAAAGAGAACCTCCAGAAACCTGCATCCTCACTGCAGCTGAGCCCGACCAATCACTGCAGCCCATACTAGCAGGTTCAATCGTCAAGCCGTGGAATGAGCCTCTCAGCCAATGGAGAAAAGGATTGCTGCATGGAAATTAATTCATGCCATCAATCTTTAGCCAGAGAAGAAGGAGTGGGCAGAGTAAGAGCAGGGTTTCCCCTCAGTAGCCCCTCCCTCACAGCAGAAAATCTGCTGACTGATGCCTCCCTCCCTCATCCTCCTCCTGAGTCATTGCAGGCTCACAGTCAGCATCCAGCAGGCGAACCCATCCACCCGACATCAGAGCTCAGCCGTATTTGAACACATACAGGCTTCCTCCCGCTGTGAAAACTACAGTATTTTCTTAAATTGCTCAAGACTTCCAGCTGCTGTCTGCAGATCTGTGTGATTGACTGCACTGCCAGTAGAGCACACTGATCCCAGGAGGAATTGGTTATTGACAGAAACTCTCTCTGTCAATAATCTCTCAAGGATCTCTCTTATATGTCCAGCAAAAAACCTACAGGTCCCGACGCTCAAATACTGCAACCAGGCTCTACCTACTAGCATGAGAGATATCACATTTCAGTTTCTACCTATTCCAATTTTTTTTTTTTTTTTTTTTATCAAATTCTACAACCAAAACCAGCCATGTGTTGATCTAGAAAAACCTTTGGGCAATTGGAGAGGTTGAACACTTTTCCCTGTTTTAGTTTTAATAATTAAAAAGTAACAATTTCGTTTTCGGACTCAATTCTGTTGTCTATGATACACTAAAGATGTATGCAAACCCCTCAAGTATCCTCCTTAAAATGTCACTTTCACAAATCTACTCATGGTTGTTTCTCACGACTCAGCTTTAGTTTGCACTTCCTCCTGAGATCCGGAACGCTGCCTCACTGGACATCTTCAAATCCTCACTAAAAACTCACCTGTTCACCGTGGCGTTCGGACCCTAGTCCTTTCCTGGTCCCCTGGCTTCCTTTATTTTATTTTACTTTGTCTTGTTTTGTTCGCTCCTCATTGTCTGTTTTGTCTTGTCTGTCCACCATGTACAGCGACCTTGGGTCCAACATCAACAAGGTTTTGCTTTTGAGTTTGATTTGATCCATATTTAGAAGGATAGCTCAAATATCTTTGATGTCCAAAGAGCATACACTTTTTTTTTTAACCAGGGGAGAATTTCTCTTAGCATTTTTTTGATTCAGTGAATTATTCAAACTTGGAAGAGGTCATTTGAGACTTTCTGTGACTATTTGTATTAACCAGTAGACGACTCACTGCTCAATCTGTCTTTTATCAAAATGCCCAGTTGTCCTACGGGTCTTTGAGAGCAGCCCTGTGTAGTGGGGGGTGCTGCCGTCTGTGGTTCACTGACTGCTGGCAGTGAGTAAGCATTAGATTATCAATGAGGAGGAGGCCTGCAGATTGTACCTCATGGAGAAAGGTATTTGATCTCTTTTTGAACTTAGCCTCCAATCAACCTGTATGACAGGAAGAGGAAGGGTTATATGTACTACACTACCATTACATTACATGTAAGGCTTTAGACATTGGACGCTCCAAAGATCACATTCTTGTAATTGTCATCACTGATCTCACGATCTATGCATGAACTCTGTAAACCGTGAACACAATTTATATTTGACCTTCACATGATCACTTGTGTTACATTACATACAGAGCCCATTGAAGAATAATTCATTTGTACTGAGGTAAGTAATGAAAACACAGTTAATTGTCCAAATATGGCGATGGAAAGTTCAATAGGAACGTTAGAAGATGTGAAACAGTAGTCAAATAATAATTTCTGGTAAAAAAAAAATGTTTACCAGGGTTCCTACAGTTTAAGGCCACGGACATATATGCGCAAAATTGTCATTCTTTTCCAATTCATCTCCTTTCCAAGCCAGTGAAGGGACAAAAAACATTTGCCTCTAGTGACAAAGTAAATTCACATTCACACTTTATCATTACATAGCTTAATAGTTGGCTGCTATATTTATGCTCTGAAATTTGAATTAAGAACCTTTTTTGTAACATAAAACATGACATTGTTGTCCATTGAAAAAGTTAGAAGATCTACTTAAAATGTTGGCATAATTGGCTTGGAACCATAATTCGGAATATCTTTTGCACTGCATTCATCAAGTATTATGTCTTCTTATCAAGTGTTGTGGTAGAAATTATGCTATTCAAACAAAGTCAATCTACTCAATAAGTTGTCTTTGAGTATTCATTACGAATAAACAAACTTTCTCAGAAAGGACTCAAAATCACAGAGTACATGAACTTGACAAGAGTCTGGAAGTCAGAGCAAACAGTGCTGGGTCTGTGAATTCTGTATCTGATTGGCGGCCCTCCCTCCCTTAAAGCAGAACTCCTAACACCAGCCTCAGACAGTAACCTTGAATATCTCACCATTCTTTGTTGTATGAAGCTGTGTTAGGAAACCAATCCCAAGGTATTAACCAGTGTGTCATAGCCTAAAAATGTAAAATTCATCCATTGAAAGTAAAATAGAGTTTATACAGTTGAAAGTGTAGGTGCAGATAGAGTTTGAACAGTTGTAGTTCTCCTCCTACACTGAGGCAAGCATAGGTTCTCCTTGTACAATGAGGCAAGCAAAATGAAAACAAGGTCCAAATACTAACAATTCTTTATTATAGGTAGAAACAAACACCCCAAACAAGGGTATACTACGGTTATACTAACGGGTCTGTGACTACACTCAGTTAGTGTCTGTTCATTGGTAGGAATGTGTGACGTGATTAAACAAGTTATTTCAGCTATGTAATGGATATCATTATGTCTCTATAATAATCAGTTCAGGGAACAAACAAGGGACAACCTCTTCAGTCGTCCAGCACCGTTATGTTCTGCTGTAGCTAATATTTAAACAGGAACGTGTGTTAAAAGGTTGACAGCCTTGACCAGTGCTGTACAAAACTGTTATTTTTCTACCTGTGACTTTCCTGTTAGTTAGATAATCTTGCACATTCAATTGTTAGGTCAAAACTGAACATGTTTGTCTATATGGCCTTTTTATATCGACTGAAAGAACAATGAAATATGCATCATCCACTGGCATTCAGCAGGAATCCCCTTAAATACATTAAGACTAGAAACCCTAATCAAAGTAAAGGTTCTGAATTAGCTACTAAAAATATTACAACTGTATCTTATAGTAATTCCAATTAAGTGATGTTGGCATGTGAATTTCAGCTCAAAAGCAACAACAAGCAATCAACACACAAGAAACACTTAACTAATGGCAATTATACCAAATCCTTTGGTATAGGACGTTTTAAAGAGACTGTACCTGTTCATGCGTTTAAATAACATAAAGGAAGGTCTAAAAGCTGTGAAGTCAAATGCTGGCTGCCCCTCAGGCAGTCCTGTCACATACCTCCTGTATGACTTACAGGAAAGACTTACCTAAAGCCAGTTTGTTAGGCTTCTTTACTAAACTCAGGTGTTGAAAATGCCCTGCATGTGTTATAAACCCTTTTGTCTCCGTTTACACGGTGACAAAAACGAAAACGAACAGAATTCGATAACAAAAAAGTATTCCGTCCACATGGAATCGGCTCAATAAATGTGTCGGTCCACACGAGACCGCTCGACACGCTGGAGACGCTGTAGTACATATGCCGGGCCTGTAAGTGGCGCTGTACTTCCGCCACAAAATACACCAAAAGCAGCGAATAAGACCTCCCGAGCATGGTTGCCATGGTTGCCTGGTTGCCCTTCTGTTTATTCTCCACGGTGGATTTAGCAACATGTAGTTCATGTAGTTCTCCACGTCTACTTGTTGCTGATGGTTGTGGTAGAGGAGCTGTAGATTTGACGCGGGGGTGAGCAGCAGAGGTGGGGAGAGGCAGGCCTCTGGCTGTTTCGGCGGCCTCTGTTTCTCTTTTTCTCCCTCCCCGAGGCGAGCATGTGCTCCTGCTGTAAAAGGCAGGTGCACCGCACCCACTGCCACTAACTCTAAGCCTGGCTCCAGAGCAGGACGTTCTCCCCGGTAGTCCACCAGCAGATGAAAAACACTCACCTCTCCGCCTCTTCCAAGGGACGAGGGAACCGTGCGGGGGGGTCTGCTGGAGGCTCCTGCTGGGTGCACTGTCCTGCGAGATACCGGGACCTAGCTCGAAACACTCGGAACACTGTTGCTGTTGTTGTTGGCGAAACACATCAGCAATGACGCGGGTGACGCGGGGATGAGCAGGAGAGGTGGGGAGAGGCGGGGCTATGGCGTATAGGGCGTACACACGGAGCCGTTTGGCCCCCCAGAGCGTTCCGTCCGCAGATCTACCCACCTTGGGCCCCCTTATCGTTTGAGGGCTCCGTTTCCGCGGTTCCTTTACGGCCTTGTGTGAAGGAACCGTCCATACGATAGAGAACTGTAGCGGATACAACCCGTTCCGTCTCTGTGTAAACGTGGCCTAAGAGCAGTCCAAGTCTTGTTTCCCTTTTTCCAAGGTTGTCAATGATACAATTATGTTTCTCTCAATTTATGAGGTTTTGACTAACAAGTGTCGACTTTAATGCATATTCTGATAAAAGTGTTTATAAATTAAAACGCACATTTTTCCTGTACTCCCTTTATCTTCATTAGGCAAGATGCTTAGTTATACTGGAGAAGAGTTTCACTGACACTGTATGTCTCTTGGCCGACAAGTTATTACGTGCTACCAACATGTTACTTACTTGTCAAGACGTATTCATAAATTCTTTTTTTCCCCGAAAAGTTATCAACAATGTTGTATTATACTTGACCTTTGTCCGTTTCTAATACTGCTTGGTTTTTGCACTTCCCTGGTGTGTCGTTCTTATTATCTTTGTAGTCTTTGTGATTTCGGTTTTTTATTTCATTTTCAATTAATCTATTCAAGGAAAAAGCAGAGGTTAAAGAAGTACTCTTGTGCTTATGTACTTTTACTTGAGTAACAATTTGAATGCAGAACTTTTCACTTTTACTTGTAACAGAGTATTCCTACACTCTGGACTCTGGTATTTCTACTTTAACCTAAGTATTAGCATGAACATGTACTTACAAATCTAAAGTAAAAGTACTTACTATGCACATTTACCAAATTCTGAATAATATAGATATATGAAAAATATGTATGATTATAATTATGAATGTAATAATGTGTTTATCATAGCTGGTAAAGGTGGAACTCATTTTAATTACTTTATTTACTGATCTGTAGCTTGTGAATTGTATCAAAGTGTAAAGTTACAAAACGTACAAAAGACATCAGTTCTGATGTCTTATGTAAGTTTTAATTATATTTTATATCAATAATCCATATCCGCAAATTAACTAAAAGGTTAAGGTGATGTAGAAGTAAAATATTTACCTCAGAATTTTAGCAGTGTTGTAAAGTAACTAAGTACATTTACTCAAGTACTGTACATAAGTACAATGTTGAGGTACTTGTACTTTACTTGAGTATTTCCATGTTATGATACTTCCTGACCTAAGATTTTCATCGTCATAACTAGACTGTAGCTATGTTCGTATGACAACATAAAAAACCTTGAACCTTCTACTCCACTACAATTCAGAGGTAAATGGTGTACTTTTACTCCACTACATGTATCTAATACCTTTAGTTACTTTACAGATCTGGATGAATGATGTGAAATATAATCAAGTGTTAAATCAGACTTTAGTTCCACCTGGAGTAAATCCACAAGCTACCCTGCAGTATACAAAGTCATTCAAACTAGCTGCACCTTTCCAGCTTTGAGAACACTTTAATGATCAATCGTTATAAAATATATCATATATATTATTCTGAAATGGACCAATCTGCACAATCACTACTTTTACTGTCGCTACTTTAACTATATTTTCATGCTAATACTTTTGTACTTTTACTTGAGTAACATTTGCTATGCAGTACTTTTATTTGTAGTATATTACTACACTCTGGTACTTCTACTTTTACTAAAGTACAAGATCTGAGTACTTCTTCCACCTCTGAATTTTAGTGGGGTAGAAGTACAAAGTTTACATTCTCATGTAAAGTACAAGTACCTCTAAATTGTACATGAGTAAATGTACTTAGTTACTTTACACCACTGGGAACAAGTAAGATAGAAGTGTGGACAATGAACAAGGAGACAGTATACAAACAGAACAGCCGGTTGAAAGCACTCACCCTGAGCTCATGTTCAGTGCGGTGTACTCCTAACTTCTTCAGCCCAATAGTCAGGTCGTTGACACAGATGCCTCCATCCCCGTTCACATCCAGGATCTGGAACAGAACCTTCAGCCTGTGCTCCTGCTCGGGCCCTCCACACGTGTCACATTGATGCGTTGACTGACCCGGCTCCGAGTGCCGGTCCTCGGCCCCGGGCTGCCGGGGGGCTGTTGAGGTGGGGTCTTCAGTGTGCCCGCCGCCCGGGTCGACCCCTAGGTGGGTGTCGCCTGATTGGCACTGGCAGAATACATCACTGAGCAAGGACGGCATCAACGAACCCTGCTGGTGCATCATAGGTGTCCGGCACGGTCCGCCACGCTTTAACCTCTGTACGGTACTGATAACAGCCGGAGAGCACTGAAGGCCAGCGCTGTGTCTCGAGCTGTGTTTTCGAGCCCTGACTACCACGTCACATGTCCCTCCATTTCAGCCTGTTCTGAAAGGAAAAGCTACCAGAAGCCGGTAAGCCTAAAAAACAGACTTTTTACTCCAAACCAATTTGCAGAGTTCCCCTGAGACGAAAATGGTTAATATCTACAAGAACACTTTATACATTAGCCGAGTAAGCTGGCCTATTTAGGGTGACGTTAGCCTGAATGTTGACGTTAAAAGCCGGTTAAGGGAGACACGGATCCTGACCTGTCAGCGCCTTACCTTTTATTCATTAAAGGACTTCACAGCATTGAGTGTCAGAGTCTATACCGAGCTTGTATATCGCAAAACACGAAGAAAGGTTCCTCAATAAAGACCGTTATGAGTAAGATATGTGTTCCGATATTTTAGTCCGTTAACTTGCCGACTGAGAAGAGAAACTGTGGCTCGGGGAGACAGCTGCGCCAGAAGTCTCGCTGTACAACGCGAGACTGCAGCGCGACTTCATCAAAAGGTGCTGGGAGCTGTGGTATTTGACCAGAGACTGCTCTGACTGACAGGCAGGTGACTTCTTCTTTCTAGGAGACCATAGGACCAGTACAGACATAGCCCTTTTGTCAATAATTTGTCACCTCGACTGGAAAACGGAGAATTAATGAGAATTTGAGGATCAGAATAGGAAATGAGGATATTGAATGGAATTCTGAGAAACGTATGTCACTGGCGCCATCTTTTGTTTCAGATGTGTAATGCAAGCCGAACTTAAAATTCAGAGGAAGACTGATGTATTTAAATTCCTGAGCGAATAGAAAAAGTAGTTACAAAACAATCAGGATAAACACTCATCAGATTACTAACGCGAAACTCCTTTCCTTCTCCTAGCACCTTGTTTTAATAGTGGGGGGTCATTTCTCTTCAATAGGTTTAAAGAAGGCTGAGAAATCCGATATTATAAGTTATAACTCCATTCCAGATGGATAACATAATCTTTATGTTGTGGTTGAATAAATTAAAGATCTTATCAAACTATGAGTTTGTTAAATTAAAACAATCTTTCTTTTACGAAAGATTCCTCTTAATTTGTAACTACAAAAATGAATTTCACATTTTAAATGTATATTTATGAGTAAATAAATATAAAAGGTATTACTCTGTGATTGATAGTATTAGACCCACATTCCTGCTGATAATTGTGCACTGTTACAATGCCTGATAGTTATTGGTGTTTACCTAGCAAAAAACAGCAAAATGGGGGTGGGGAAGATATACTGCTTGCCTATGTTATTATTACAGATCTAAATAACGCAGGTTTCACAAAATAAAAAACAAAGTAATTCAACGTGTGTGTGTGTGTGTGTGTGTGTGTGTGTGTGTGTGTGTGTGTGTGTGTGTGTGTGTGTGTGTGTGTGTGTGTGTGTGTGTGTGTGTGTGTGTGTGTGTGTGTGTGTGTGTGTGTGTGTGTGTGTGTGTGTGTTGTTCTGAACGCTCCCTAAGACTGCAGGTTTCACTGTTTGTAACTAAGGGTATATGATATCTACCTCCCCTGCTTTGAAATGTTTTTGAAAATAGGCCTATAGTTAGTTGAGATTTCTTTCCTAGATTTTGTCATCGTTGAGTGTTTTTAAAGACAAATATAATTACCAATGCAAACAAGAAACAACTGTTGACCAACCACGACTGTGATATAAAGTGAGATAACGGGGACAATTCTTATTTGGTACCGTTTATTTTGCTTGTTCAATTGGCGTTTAATTGAGCCAATAGAGAAAGAGAATATTGCATGACCGAGAGATATCCAACCAATGGGATGTCTTTGGGCGGGGCTACAGGGCACGCCCAGCTAACGTAAGCGTTGTTGTAGGAAGAAGAAGCCGATTCTGGAAGCCATTACGTTGCGCACATCAATTGAGTAAATCCTACTATTTTTGCGTACAATACGCACAATTACCTCTCCAAAAGGGGAATTTGTGCAATTATGGCATCAGCCGCGAAAAAGAGAAAAATGAATTTCTCGGAGAGAGAGGTGGAAATTATTGTGGAAGAAATAGAGAAACAAAAGCACACACTGGTTAACCACTTCAACGCTGGAGTCACCCACATGGCAAAGAATAACGCTTGGGGGGACATCCTGAAAAAGGTAAACGCTGTCACCACCTGTCCCAGAGAGTTGCCCGAGGTGAAGAAGAAGTGGTCGGACATGAAGACGGAGGTCCGGCGGAAAGTGGCCCAGGCGCGGGCTGCTATAGAGGGAACCTCCGCTGACTGCACTCCAGTCCCCGTCATCCTCACTGCGATGCAGCAGAGGATCTGTAACCTGCTGGGGGAGGCCACCATCATCAGCCTGCCTGCAGGAGACTCGGATGCTGAGATAAGTTTACCTGTCACCGTGAACGCAGCCGCCACCGTCACACTGGCAGAGAGTAAGTCCTCACAAGTTGAACTGTGAGCGTTCACATGATACACTTAGTGTGCAGTAGTGTACAGTAACTAGTAGATGTACTCAGTACTGTACTTAAGTACAATTTTGGGAGACTTGTACTGTTCTTCAGCATTTCAATGTGTTGCTACTGGACTTCAACCCTACTAAAATTGGAAATGAAATATTGTACTTTTACTCCACTACATTTATTTAATACCTTTAGTTACTTTACAGATTTGGATTAATGATGTGAAATATAGCCCAATCAACTCTTAAATCAGATCTTAGTTACACCTGGAGTAAATTCACAAGCTACCCTGTAGTATATTACAAAGTTATTACAATTACCTGGGATATATATTATTTTGAAATGGGACAATCTGCATAATGAGTAGTTTTACTTTTGGTACTATAAGTATATTTTATATCTACTTTTACGATTAACATTTTGATTTCAGGACTTTTACTTGTAACAGAGTATTCCTACACTCTGGTACTCCTACTTTTACTTTAGTACAATATCTGAGTACTTCGTCCACCTCTGTGAGTATGAGTGGCAATGCTGTTATAATAAGCAAGACAAGTTCCTTTCCTTTGAGTGGATTCATCCCCAGAGCTCAGTGATAAATGTTGCTTAAAACGTGATGAGTGTACAACACTGAACAAGCATTATAGAAGACACAACCCAATAAACACTAAAAATACATATCCCACCTTCAGTGGAAAACATGCTGTACAGTAGCGTTTTGGCAAAGCATGAAACCTGACACTGTCTGCTGTGTAAGGGTAGAGTACACGTTAGGATTGTGTGTGTTACATAGCATCTGATACTTCCCACACCAAGAGGGGTTGAAGTGCATTGATCCCCCTCAAAGCCCTCATCACAGGTTACTATGGAGACAGGTTCTAAGTAATACAAAAAATAAATCTATATATTTAAACTCTGAAAAGGAAAAACTATCCAATAAACCACAAGTAAAAAAGTAAAGATGTAACAACTGTAAAAGGAAGTAAAAATGTGTGGCTAAAATATAATTCTTCTGCTTTTCTGTCCTGATATATTATGGGTCCTCGGGTTGATATTTTTTTTTAAAACCTTTCTCTTTTCCCTTCTTAACTTTGGAGGCACAACCTAAATTAAAAGGGCACTTAAGTATTTTAGCCCCTTTAGGAGAAAAATATCCTAAATGTGCTTTTGAAGATTTTAGCCTATTTTTTGCTTTAGATGGTCTTTCTTATTTTCTTGGATTGCTTGTTTTGTGTTTTTTGCATCATGCTGTCTGTGTTTCTTTCAGCTCTTCCAGCGGGCTCAGCTACAGTCTGTGATGAAGCAAAGCCACTGACTGGTAAGTGCGTTTATTATTATATACGTGAAACTATCAGTCTGTGTGAACATTAACGAAGCTTTCTGGTCGTTATATACTGTTAGCATATGACCCATCCACGAAAGACTAAAATGTTGGTGTTCAGTGAAAGTAATTAAGTAACAAAGGTAACATTTCAATGCTTTGCATCCCTTACTGGAATAATTTTAGAAAACTACCTTTTCTAAAATTCAAATAATTTAGTATTTTTTTATTAAATGTAAAAAATAATGTACTTAATTTATGTAAAAAGCTCTAATATCACAACCATTATTTAAAATCATGAGAGCAATATTAACTTCATCATTCAAGACATTGTCCTCGTTTATGACGTTCTTCCAGTCATTACTGTGTCACTATGATTACAGGTGTTTTAGATATGTATTATAATGATGTGAGGTGTGTGTGAAGGGGGCACTGATCTTTGGGTTTCGTTCATCCATCCATGAAACAGGAACGAGCGAGTGAATCCTCACTTGCTCCTGTGGTCACCCACCATGAAAATAATGAGTTTTCAGATTTTTAGCAGCAGTTCTAGCAAACCAAGACACATATAGTTATGTTATAATAATGTTGTTGTCGATGGTGATTCCAGCAAAGCAGAGCGTCAAATGTTTTATCAGGATAAAATCTTTTTTCCCCTTTGGATGACCATCTAATTCAAACCTACTCCAGCTCTGACAGGAGTGTGGTACTGATCTTCTCTTTTCCTTTTTTAAACTTCTTATTTATCGGCTTATTTAATTAAACAGACGCACTATTTTCTGAATATAAAGTTATATTTTTAGATATAGCATAGGTAAATCACAACAAAGTAAACACCAAAAAAAGTTAAAAAATGAAATAAATAAAACAGTAACAAAAATCTAAGGGATAATATATTTAGAGTTAAATTAAGGCTGATTACCAAGCATCATACAGTTCATATTTCATCATGGGTCGAGTAAAATGGAGGGATGATTTCACAGATAAACATTCAAAGACACTCACATCCCCCTCTTCTTATACACACACACACACACACACACACACTTACTTGTAAACATATACAGTGGAGGAAATAAGTATTTGATCCCTTGCCGATTTTGTAAGTTTACCCATTTGCAATTGTCGTGCCGCGGTCGCTGTTCTCCCCCCCACACTCAGACACTCAAATCCAGCACCAGACACTTTTTACGCTGCTATGGACAATCTTGCACTAATGCACATTCTCAAAATATTGAAGTGACTGTTGTTTTGTACATATTGATTGTTGTGTTTTTATTAAGGTCTTAATGTGTAAACATTTCTCTTTAACTGTGTATATATATACATATTTGCACACATATTTTTATATACATTTGTTTTTATATTCGGGATTGTGGGAAACGGTATTTCGATCTCTCTGTCTGTACACACAAACTGGAATATTGCCAATAAAGTTGACTTTGACTTTGACTTACAAATAAATGAACAGTCTATAATTTTAATGGTAGGTTTATGAGAGACAGAATATCAAAAAAAAAATCCAGAAATTAACATTATATAAAAGATAAAAAATTATTTGCATTTAACTGTGGGAAGTAAGTATTTGATCCCCTTGACACCAACAAGGATTCTGGCTCCCACAGACCGATTACATAAGTCCATTTCCTTTAGGAAAGTACTCCTAACATCAACTAGTTACCTGTATAAAAGACACCTGTCCACAGAATCAATCAATCAGATTCCAACCTCTCCACCATGGGCAAGACTAAAGAGCTGTCTGAGGACCTCAGGGACCAGACTGTAGACCTCCACAAGGCTGGGACTGGCTACAAGACCACCAGAAAGCAGCTTGGTGAGGAGGAGACAACTGTTGGTGCCATTATTCAGAAATGGAAGAAAGACAAAATGAGCATCAGTCGCCCTCGGTCTGGGGCTCCACACAAGCTCTGGCCCCGTGGGGTATTGGTGATCATGAGAAAGGTGAGGGATCAGCCCAGAACTACACAGGAGGAACTTGTTAATGATCTCAAGGCAGCTGGGACCACAGTCACCTAGAAAACTATTGGTATCACACTACACCATAATGGATCAAATCCTGTAGCGCCTGAAGGCCCCCTGCTCAAGAAGAACATGAAAGGCCGTCTGAAGTTTGACAACGAACCTCTGAAGGATTCAGAGAAGGCTTGGGAGAAGAGGATGTGGTCAGTTTGGCATCAACTGGACACGCCGTGTTTGGAGGAAGAGAGATGCTGACTATAACCCCAGAACACCATCCCCACCATCAGGCATGGAGGTGGAAACATTATAAGTAAACATCCATACGCACATGTAAAGCTTTATATTTCCCAGGTCAGCATAACTGAAAACAATCAGAATACACTTGAAAAAAGAAAGCAAGAAAAGAGCCAAAGACAGTTTAATAAGTTGAATTAACCAAGAAGCATTCATAACAAATATTAATTCAAAAAAGATAAATCATAATTTCCAAAATACACATCCTGTAACAGTTCTGAGAGATATAGCAGCCAGGTATATATTGCACAGCTAGGAGGGGCGCCTGACTGATCAAATCTATTGAAGAAAATGTTCAAGTCGTTTGCCCACTGATGGTCCCCCCGGACCTGGGAGTCTGGGTCTTTGTAGCCAGAGATGGTCTTTAGGCCTCTCCAGACTTTTTCTTTTCTGATCTCAACCTCAGAAAGAAAAAACATTTCCTCTAATGTTGAGCTACCTGCTGAGTGACATGAGAATAGTACAAACCCCAAGTCCATTGAAGTTGTCAGTTTAGTACCCCCACTCTTTTACCATGCTGTTATAGCAGTGCAAATGTGGCTTGGCATTCTCTTGCTGAAATAAGCAGGGACATCCCTGACAAAGACGTTGCCTGGATGGCAGCATATGTTGCTCCAAAACCTGTCTGTACCTTTCAGCATTACTGGTGCCTTCACAGATGTGCAAGTTACCCATGCCATGGGCACTAACACACCCCCATACCATCATCACAGATGCTGGCTTTTGAACTTTAAGCTGATAACAATCTGGATGGTCCTTTTCCTCTTTGGCCCGGAGGACACGATGTCCATGTTTTCCAAAAACAATTAGGAATGTGGACTCATCAGACCACAGCACACTTTCCCACTCTGTGTCAGTCCATCTCAGATGAGCTCGGGCCCAGAGAAGCCCATGGCGTTTCTGGGTGATGTTGATATATGGCTTTGGCTTTTCATGGTAGAGTTTTAACCTTCACTTGTGGATGTAGTGACATACTGTGTTCACTGACAATGGTGTTCCAAGTGTTCCTGAGCCCACGTGGTAATATCCTTCACAGAATGATAATGGTTTTAATGCAGTGCCCCCTGAGGGATCGAAGGTCACCGGCATTCAATGTTGGTTTTCGGCCTTGCCGCTTAGGTGCAGTTGTTTCTCCGGATTCTCTGAATCTTTTGATGACATTATGGACTGTAGATGATGAATTCCCTAAATTCCTTGCAATTGTACGTTGAGAAACGTTGCTCTTAAACTGTTGGACTATTTGCTCAGGTAGTTGTTCACAAAGTGGTGAAACTCGCCCCATCCTTGCTTGTGAATGACTGAGCCTTTCGGGGATGCTCCTTTTATACCCAATCACGACACTCACCAAATGAACCTGTTCCCCTGTGGAATGTTCCAAACAGGTGTTTTTTAGCATTCCGCAACTTTCCCAGTCTTTTGTTGCCCCTGTCCCAGCTATTTTGGAACGTGTTGCAGGCATCAAATTCAAAATGAGTGAATATTTGCAAAAAAAACACAACGTTTATCAGTTTGAACATTATTATCTTGTCTTTGTACTGTATTTAATTGAATATAGGTCGAAAAGGATTTGCAAATCATTGTATTCTCTTTTTATTTAAGTTTTACACAACGTCCCAACTTCATTGGAATGGGGGTTTGTAGATGCAACTAGATATTCAGTTTGGGTTTGAGTCACTTCATAACTAAAACAGCTTTTCTGTTCTGTTTCCAGCTGAAACTACTTTCCTCACCCTGGAGGATGGAGGCGTGGTGGAGTACTGCACAACCACTGTGAGTGACTCCACTCCCACCGTGGTGGCGGCCGTTGAGGCTCCAGTGGAGATGCTGGCTGCCTCCTCGGCCTCTCCCCCTCCACCTCAGAGTCATGCCAAACCTCAGGAGCTGAAGAGCCGCATCGCCCTCAACTCCGCCCGCCTGCTGCAGGAGCAGAGGGTCACCAACGTGCACATCCGTCAGATCGCCCAGCACATGGAGGGACAGAACGAGCTGCTGCAGATGATGCGGCGCTCTCAGGAAGCTCAGGCGTTCGCACAGGAGAGACAGGCCCAGGCGCTGGAGGGCACCCAGGCCGCACTGCTGGCCTTAGTGCAGCTGCTCAAACCTGCTCTCAAAGACCTGCGCAAATTCCTCCAGAGTGGGACTGAAGCAGCCAACTCCAGCAGCTCCGCAGCAGAGGAGCAGAGGCCCAGAACACCTCCACCTCCACAGCCGGCCGAGGAGGCACAATAGACGTGTGTGTGTGTGTGTGTGTGTGTGTGTGTGTGTGTGTGTGTGTGTGTGTGTGTGTGTGTGTGTGTGTGTGTGTGTGTGTGTGTGTGTGTGTGTGTGTGTGTGTGTGTGTGTGTGTGTGTGTGTGTGTGTGTGTGTGTGTGTGTGTGTGTGTGTGTGTGTGTGTGTGTGTGTGCTTCCTGTCTGAATTGTACATAAAGGACACACAGACTTCAGAAAACAATAACAAATAAAAAACGTGTCAAAAGTTGCCTTTGCGGTGAGCATGTACAGAATTTTACTTGTTACCTTCTGTCTTTAACTAGCAGAGTTTATGTTATTTGAGACATTTAATTGAGAGTGTGTTTTTTAATGCAGAGATGCAGACGGTTATCAGTAACATGGAATCCTTAGTTTGATCCAGTCACCCTGCAGTTCACCCTGAATGAAGAATAACCAGTCCTGTTCTCCACACCAGAGACGGCAGGGGTCTTCAGGTAGTGTGCACTGTGTCTTCAGAACTGAAGAAAAACTTGAATAAAAATCATCTGCCCCCATTTTGTCTCTGGGGTGCATCGCTACTTAGCAGCCAGGAGGGGTCAGTGTGTGTAAACAGGTTTCATCACTACAGCAGTATAGTTTAAAGGTCCCATCTTTTGGCCATTTTTACTGATCATAATTCCATTGTTGAGGTCTACTAGAATAGATTTTCATTGTTCAATGTTCCAAAATCCGCCCTCTACTGGACTCTATGGGTACTACCTTATCATGCAAGCATTCACCTACTGAGACTTCTATAGACGTAGCCTGCCCCGGGGCGGGCCTACCTGAATGCGCGCGCATCTCACCGTTTAATAGGAGGCCTCGCCTCCTGACTGTCATCCCTTTCTCTTCAGCGAGCGGAAGTGAAACACTGAGCAAAGACGTGAAAGAGAAAAGAGATAAAACAAGCATGGAACCACTCCTTGAGCACCGGACCTGCCCGACATGCCCTGGCCTGATCGCGGGGGCTGATCCGCACCGCCTGTGCTTCCAGTGCCTGGGGCCGGACCACGCCGAAGACGGCCTAAACCAGTCGCCGGCCTGTAACGCCTGCCGCCGGCCTGTAACGCCTGCCGCATGATCCCTCGGCTAAGCCGCCGACATCGTGGCGAGCATTTCCGGGTGAAGTTCGGCCCGCAGGTGGAGGTGGAGGATCAGGACCTCGAGGTGGTGGAGATGGATGAACAGGATGACGAGGTGCCATTTGAGTTCACCCTCCCGAGGGGCCGGGTGGCTGCGTTCACGGAGGAGGAAGACGACGAGGACGCCTCGTTGTCTGGTACCTTCGGGTCCGGCGGCCAGGAGGGTTCAGCACACAGGTCTGCGCGTCTGGAATTCCCGGCAGTGAAACATTTTAACCTGTTAAGCCCGAGAGACCCCGGTACCGGGGCACTGCCGCAACATCTTGCAGGAAACAGTGTCTGAGGACATGTTCATTTAATAAACTATGAATGTTTTATATCCATGTAACGGGAAGAAACTCATGTAACTGATCTTTTTTTTTTTTTTTTCAAAAGAAAACCACTGAGCCTCTGAATTAGCAACGAGCGAAAAATGCTAACAGATTACTGCACCGAAAATCACTCACAAAACCTTATTATTTATCTCTTCTCCACATCCATGACATCGTTTCACATCGTGAGGTGACACAGAATCGATGGGTACCCACATTATCACTGAATTATACGAATTTGCGACGTTATAAACAAAAACAGACATCAAAACAGGCGACGCTAGGTAGCTAAAAATGCTAACATTTTTACCTTGGCTCTGTAGTCTCTCCAAAGTGGTCTTCAATGGCATTAAAACGATAAAAACGCTGCTGAAGTTAAAGGGGACCTATCATGCAAAATGCACTTTTGTACGTCTTTTATACATGAATATGTGTCCCCGGTGTTCCAGGGAACTCACCAAGTGTCAGAAAACACAACCCTTTCTATTTTCCTCCATACCCAAATCTCTAAAAAAAGGGGCTGCAACGGATCTGATAAAAACTGATCCAGATTTGAACACTGTCCTGACGTCAGGACGGTGGCGCTACGGCTATTGGGCCAACTCCACCAATCAGGAGGAGACAGCCACGGCCATTGCCATTCTAAAGCGCTGGAGACGCTGTAGTACATATGCCAGGCCTGTAGATGGTGCTGTTCTCACAGAATCTGCCCTTGCAAAAACAGAGCTAAAAAATGTCAAATTGAGCAAAATGAGGCATGGCTAAAATGCATGATCTGTTTGGTAAAAGTATAAATATGCCTTATATAGGTATGGTCCTATACTATATTATTCAAATATAGCATGATAGGTCCACTTTAATCCATAGGTTAATCCAATGTGTCTGTGTCCCTTTGAAATGATTTCTGATAATCCATAAGCAATAAAACTGCTTTTCCGTTTCCAGATGTCAAAGCTAGAGATAGGTTCGCTCTGATGCAAAACTGCATGCGCGAAGCCCCCACCTTTTCTTTTCACAATGAGTGTGTGTGGGGGACTCCCCCTTCGATTCTATTGGCTCTAGCGGTCAGAAAGAGGTGTCAACCATCAAAATCGAGCAAGGGGGGCCAGAGATATGGAAAATCCACCCAAATGACCCCAGAAGTGGTTTCTTTTTGCTAAATCTCTCTAAAAAGGTCAAATGTCACTTGTTTTGCATCAATCTTGATACAGGGTACTTATTATATGTTGTACTTTGGATTCCTAAAGCTTTTAGTCTACTAACCCATCATCCAAGGGTAGTTTTCACTATAAGTAAAAAAGAATTTTTGGATGGACACTATCATTTACAGTTTTTTACTATGTAAAATCTGGATTTTCTTTAAAATAAAAAAACATCTATATTGATTCTGACTTTTTTACATCCAACTCACAGGTTTATCATTACTTTGAGAAAAAAGATTATTAATTTAACCCTTTTAGAAGGGAAGATATGGTCATTTGTTCTGGGAATGTCATTTCCCACAGGCTCAGGGCTTAACAGGTTAAAGTAAAATGCTTCAATCTGGTGCACTTTGAGCAGAATTACTAGAGACTAGATCTAGGGGGTACAACTCTAAAACACCCATATGAAAAAGCTCGGTTTACATTTTAATAATCAAATAAGTATGTGAACATAACCAATAACCCATAGCCAATAACAAATGAATTTAACGTATTTTATTTTTGTTGTTCATTCATATCTTATTTTACCTAGTTAACATTTATTTATTCATGCATTTTTTTTTATATCTCCAGTTTTAAACGATATTTTTTAGTGATACAGCATTCCAACTATCTGTTATGCTACGCACAAAATTCTTTATTATTCCGCCGGGTTATTTTGCGCCTCTTCTTCTCCCACATTGAACATCGCAGAAAACTCCGTTCAAACATCAAAACGTTCAGCTCGGTCGGGAATCGATGGCTATTACTTTTCTCATTCATAACTTTCATAATTCCAGAGATACATCCCATAATTCATCACATTTTTAACATGGAAGTCAATGGAGAAACTCTTCAGACTTCAACAATCTTCATGCAACTTCAACTGCTAACTGCTCCTTCTTCAACTGCTAACTGCTCCTTCATACTTTCACTCAGAAACCTCATTCCAACTTTAAACTGTTACACATCTTTCTGACATTATTCGTGTAACACAACTTTTAAATCTGATTCTTACTTTTAGAGATATTAAACATTGTTCAGACCTTGGTAAAGAGGCCTTCTTCAGATTTTAGAGTGCGTGATGTCACAGCTAGAGTAGACAGATTTAATTTTGCCTTCATATATATTTCTTTTAAACCTGCCATAATTCCAAAACCCTACATTCCTGAGACATAATTTTTCATGACAAACGTAGGAAAACATCTCGTAGCTTGAAAGATAAAAGAAAAATAAGCAAAATAATTAAACAAAATGCCTCTTGAGGGCATGAAGTGACAAAAACCTTCAACATGTCTCCATTAAACCCCATTGTAAGTTCAGCCTCACCTTTCCCCACCACAGCAGCCGCACACCTTTAGTTAATCTGCCAAAAAGGCCATATTATTAACCCGAAAGTACACAAAAAGCACACTTCAGATGCTCAAGTTCCTTGACATGCTTCACGCTTTGAAATTTCACCGATATCTGTTACGGTTCTTCAACAAAACGTTCACATGTAAGAGGTTTATCTCTCATTCAGATCAATGAAAATGCTCTCCTCTCACTGATCACCATGGAAACCTTTGATCTCTGGACACGTCGTTAGCTCAAATATAAACACCTGTGTCATGGAACACGATGATGTCATAACTCCAATTGACATAATTAGAGCAGCAGACTAATGACGTGGTCACTGGAGTTTAACAGACTGTCTCAGCCTATTCTTTTCCGTCTGATGGAGACTTCATACTGACTTCAACATGTTCCACATATTTTAGACATTATTGGTGACGTATGCTTTTAGTTCTAAAGTTTTCAGTTCAAATATTCTGCTGCTTTTTCATGCATTTAGACTTTTATTTTCTTGTTCTTATTTCACATTCAAGTCCCCTCTATTCATGAACCCTTTAAAGTACTCAGCCACACCACTTATGGCGCATTTCCATTGCAGCGCGTAGCTCGCTTTAAGCGTGCCGTGTCGTGCCGTCCCCTTTTTTGGTTGTGCTTCCACTAGGCCTCGTTCCGGCACGGCACGGCGCGGGGCCACTTTTTCCCCTCTTTTCTGGCCCTAGAAAATTGTGGTTCTATCGGGGCCAACAAACAGGGCTGAGTCGGGCTGAGTATGCTAAACTAGAGAGAGGAGCGCTGGCAAGAGGGCTAGAACTACAACAAGATGGACATATTTGACCGTGATTTAATTGTAATACACGTTTCAAAATGATGCCGAAGTAACAACATACTGATACCGGTTAGTAAAAACCATGAATTAATGCTTTGTCAAGTCTGCAGACAGACGGCAGGCGAAAAACCTTTTAAAATTCGTGTTTTTCTAGAAGGAGATTGGCTAAGCTAACGCAGTATATGCCCCGACCGTCCACACTCACAACAACGGCCTATACAGACATAAATAAAGC